GGCCGCTTCCCCAACGGCCGCGTCGAGGAGTTCATCCACGCCAGGGTGCGCATTCTTCGCTTCTTTGTATTCTTCTTCTTCATCATCATCACTCGTTTCGTCTCCTTCACTGCTTCTAGGACCGATCCTTCTTGTTTTCTACCATTCTTTTAAATCCTACTAGTTTAACATTACTTCTAAAACTCTTTTTCGGAAGGAATCTGTCTCTTCTAGTTCTTTGGAATCTTTCGGTACTTTTTTTTTTTGAAAATTTCTTTCGGTACCTTTTCCTGGCTGGGTAACTTGGAAATTATAAATGGCAGTCTTCATCATATTAAAGCGATCCGTTGATCCATTCGCTAATAGCATCATAAAAGGTTTTCCTTTATTTATTATATAGGAAGAGCCGAGGGAGATTGTTTAAAGTTTCAACAAACAGAAAAGATTTTATTACTTCTTCTTAATGGATGAATAAACACATTCCTCTACCAGCATGCTCTCAACTAACGTGTTGATGTGAGGTTCTCTTGCTTTGACACCTTCCTCCCCTTATGATGTACATATGAACTGTATTCTGCCATAACTTTCAACAGTTTGGCCTTTAGAATCTTATCCGAAAACGATCATTTAGGCCTGAAGACTGAAGTCAATAATGAACTAAAGAATTCAATACCAGTGCCACAGTTTTTCTACTCTTCTTGAGATTTGCATTGCGTATTTCAAATTGTTTCCTTGAGATACTTGCCGTGGCAGAAAACATTGAAATATTTTATTCTGATTCGCAAGGCTGATATGCTGTTGTCACTTGTTGACATTTCTTCCTGCGAATAGTATTTGGTACTTGTAGCACTGTATCTATGAAATTGCTTTAGAATTCAGGACACAGAGACGCTAATAGGTCAACGCTCGAAGATTTTGTGTATCTACTTTGGTTAATTACTCAACAAGACTTGGTCAGAGTGTTGAAGTTAATTGTCATTTTCAGGAGAAAAGGTGTGAGTAGAAAATTGGTTAAAGCATCACTATTCGGTCTTTGTTTTCCTTTTCTTTGTCCCATTTTAAAAACAAAAAGCATCATGTTCCTTCTCCTTGCTAAATACAAAGACAAAACTTGCAGCACTGTAATTCGTAGTTACCATAAGAATTGGATATCTTAGTACTAGTAGGATGTGGATCCCATTTTGTTTAATTTAGGAAGTTGACATAACTACTCCTTTCAGACACTTTCAGCTCCTGATCTACGTGATCCAGAGATTTCAGCTATTATAGCCTCCAAATTGAGGGAATTTCACAGCCTGCACATGCCTGGTTCAAAATCTGTGCTCATTTGGAAAAGATTAAGGTACTGCGGAATATCTCCTAAACAGCTGTTCTGGTGTAGCATACTGTAAAACAATACACAATACTTATCATCAAAGTGAAGTACTGATTGCAACAGTGCCTCGTTTCCACTAGGAACTGGCTCAAAACTGCCAAGAGCTTGTACTCCTCTGATGAAGCCAAAGAGTTTGCTTGGATAGCATGGAGGAGGAGATCACCGCCTTGGAGAATGAATTTTCAGGGGAATACGAGCGCATAGGATTTTGCCATAATGATCTCCAGTATGGAAATATCATGATTGATGAAGAGACCAAACTGTTGACCATTATTGTAAATTCTTGTTACTCTGCAGATGTTTGGTTCACTAATTCTGTTTTCTCATACACGTCGTTTCTGCATTTCTGTATTGGTCTCCATGCTTTTAGTCTGTCATATGTTTCTGAATTTAACTGACTATCCCATCTGACTTATCCTGAATAGTTGGAACATATATTGTTATTATTATCTTACTTTATTTCTCGCTTAACGCCATTGCAGGACTATGAGTATGCAAGTTTTAACCCTGTTGCCTATGAGATCGCAAACCATTTCTGTGAGATGGCCGCAAACTACCATTCAGAAAAGCCGCACATATTGGACTACAATAAATATCCAGGTACTGAATATATTTGAAGCTATGGATTTGTGCATTGTTATTTTTCTCGATGTCTTGATGGGGCCTATATTTGTTCACTCATCGTTGCTTACTGCTCATATTGCGACAGATACCGATGAGCGGAAGCAATTTGTGCAGACATACCTGAGCTCCTCAGGTTATCTAATGTTTATTGATTTATACCAACCTCTAGTTTATCTCCTTACCGGTTTTTAGGAATATGTCTTTATCAGTTTTAGAAAATAAATTCTCTTTCTGATTCCCTGCGATCCCTACCAGGTGAGGAATCTGAAGTGGAGGTAGAGAACCTGATCAAAAGCATTGAGAAGTACACCCTTGCCAGCCATCTAGTCTGGGGCCTTTGGGGAATAATTTCGGTGGGTTCGTCTTACCTCCAAACCAGAATAGAATGTATGTACGCCATTCATTCATCTAAATCTCACATCCTCTGGGTGCAGCACCATGTCAACGATATCGACTTCGACTACACGGAATACGCGAGGCAGAGGTTCGAGCAGTACTGGCTGAAGAAGCCGACCATCCTAACTTCTCAGACTGCTGAATAGAATCCGGGCATCAGGTTCTGCACTCCACCGATGGCCTCTGCTGCACATAGCTTGTCCATTCTTCTCTGCTTATTGAGGATTGAGGTCTGTCCCTGGACACAAGGTTGTTAAGAAAGGCTGGACCCAGAGGCTAGGTCAGGCATTCAGGGAAATCAGGGCTTTATTCGTTTGCCAGCTCGGTTGTTAATAGTGTAAGGCGAGAGATTGTTGAGAAAACCCTGGCTGCTTGTTGTATGATTGGTATGTATGATCACTTGGTGTATATGTGCTTGGTTAAGTGGCTAGCTTAGTGCTGCCTTTGTGTCTTCAGTGCATGGACAATCAGATAAAGATGACTGCAGGTTCTGTACCTCTGTATTCGGTGCATGTTGGTCGTTAATCCTGAGAGAATGATAGAATCAGTGATACCGGTTACATTACATCACTAACTACAGCCTGAGAAGAAGTGAACATTAGTCTCCCCTATTAAAATCGCCAAATAGTTAACTCTATAGCTAAAAGTAGCCTACATCATATACATCGGTGATCTTTAAAGTTGCATTCGCACACCAAGATGATGCCGCTAGCATTACATCCATTGTCTGGGTCACCTTCCATTGCTGGATCATCTTCAGGGTCTTCGCCACCTCTGGTCGGCCGTTTGCAAGGCTCGTCGACAGTGCAGTCCCGAGCAATGTAAAATTGGTAGGCACACAGGCCATATGTTCCTGCCACGCACTAGAAAACAGGCAAACGAGGATCAAACGGCTCATTCTCCTTACCATTTCCCTTGAAAAGAGAATGGTGTTAACCCATGCTGAGTTTTGCCTCGGATCCCTTGTCTAGGATTTCACGGTCAATCATTCAGCAAGGGTTGGCACCCTACTGCCTATCATCACATGAATGCGACCGTCCATAAGGGGCAGAAGAAAATCTGTTCAATTCGATCTAGATGGTGTCATTGTTTAATATATATCTTGATAGGGCAGCAACATCTACAACAACAAATTAGCTGATTTAAATCCACCATGAAGCATGCATTTATTTGGTACTATAGATGTTATATATTTTTCTATAAATTTGGTCAAAGTTAGAGAAGTTTGACATAGAAGTTAGGACAGCTAAAATGACCTACATTTTGGAATGTAGAAGTACTCCTTTTACAGGATATATTGAACTTTTTTTTGCCACTGTTAAGAGTGGCACACTCCCAAATATCATCCTATTATGTGACTTAGTAAGGCTAAATATTTGGGAGTTGCAGAAGAAGATGATACTTTGGAGTACTCGACTCTTAAGAGTGACATATAGCTAAATATCCCAAAAAAATTTCAGCAAGGCACAATGAGTGTTGTTGAGTAGGAAAATCATATGTGCAAACAATATGAAAAGCACGCTATTGGAGTCTAGGCAAATATATATTTATCAAGTATTAATAAAAGCTGGGTACAAATATCAGAACCGTGTAATGCTTTCATTTTGCTGCACTCACATTATCGTGTAATGGTGTGCTGCTCCATTATCTTTGTACAGCCTGATCTTCAGCTTGAGTCTCCACACATTCCTAATTCAGTAAAACCCAAAATCCACATCATCAATCAAAAACAGAAAATAATTTCTAAGCGATGAGATCTTGAGAAAACCAAAATCGCACCGAGACACCCTTACATTTATGATTTTCCTACATTTCCAGAGTAGGGTGCCAGAATGCTTTCTTTGCACCAACAGTTCATCCAGCTTGCTGAACATTTGACAATGTGTCATGACTAGCTTATCTTGAACCATCAACCCCGACAATAAGGGATGCATCACCTTTCTGGACATCAAGTTGAACTTAGACTCATGATTTCTTCTCCTTGATAGAATGCAAACATTGCTCTCCCTCTTGCTTATATTGCCTTCAGACAACAAACACCGTGGCTTGAGAAATTACCTAGTTATATGATAAATAGTCAAAGAAAGAAGGTACTTACAATCAGGCCAAAGAAATAAAATCACTAGCTAGAAGCTTCAGTAAGCAAACTACAACTACTAACATTCCAAAAGTTCTGTAAGACCCAAATCATAACATATGGAACTATTGTACTTCTCTAAAGATCAAATACAAACTCTGATGGTATGAAGCATGATCATGATCCACTATGGTTAGTCTACCTTTTTCATAGAGCATACCAACATAATAGTATATATGCTTACCATCCTTTTGTTTCTTGGTATCATGAATAAAGAAAGATATGGTAACGTAATATCCAAGTATTATACTGTAGTTCTTATCATGTCAAGTATCATGGTCTTAGTTAGTCACTGAAAGCTACGTGAATTATGGTCTTCTGCAAGTCATTGCAAACCCTTGTTCTGCAATATTGCTAGATGATGTTACAAATATGACAATGCTATACATGGTATTTCTGTATCCAGTTAATTCATTTCATGCCACCATATAGGTGCACCACGTCAAAATCTGTGGCACTGTCATTTAATGCAAAATTATCCAAAAATTACTATCCATCCCCAACAAGAAAAGCTTGTAGCTTGTTGCCACTCTGCACCCAGCTATAGGCTGGATTTTTCTGCACCTTCCTTGATTTCATTAATGTCTTGATCTCATTTGCTTCATTCCACATCCCAGACTCAGAATACATGTTTCTCAGCAGAGTATAGTAGCCTGAGTGCTCAGGCTTCAACTCAAACAAATGCTCTGCTGCCAGTCGTGCTAGTTCAATGTCTCCATGTATACGGCAAGAGCCAAGCAATGCTCCCCAAACATCAGAATTAGCAGGAAAAGGCATGTTTGTGATTATTTCAACAGATTCACTCAGTTGTCCAGCACGCCCAAGAAGATCTACCATGCAAGCATAGTGCATTTGCTGTGGCTTAATATTTTGAGCGATCATTTGACTGAAGTACTTCTTTCCTCTGTCTACAAGCCCACCATGGCTACATGCTGACAATACTGCAATATAAGATACATGATCATAATCGACGCCATCATCCTTCATTAAATCAAACAATTTGAATGCAACATCAATTTGACCATGCATCCCATATCCCAAGATCATAGTGTTCCATGAAGCAACATCCTTTCGTGTAATCCTATTGAAGATCTTTGAAGCAGTATCAAGCATTCCACCTTTAGTGTATAAGTCTAGCAACGAATTAGCCAGAAAAGGGTGAGCGTTTAACAATCTCCTCACTAAAACACCATGGATTTCTTTTCCTTGCTTAAATGCAGAAAGATTAGCACATGCCGAGAGACAACCCATGAAGGAAACAGCATCATACTCGATTCCAGCAGACCTCATCTGCTGAAAGAGATGAAGAGATTCAAAACAGCATTGACTCTCTGAAGTAACCCACGATCAAAGTGTTGTATGACACATCGTCCTTCTTTGACCTGTCAAAGATATCTTGTGCCAAACTCAGCTGCCCACACTTGGCATATACATCAATCAGAGCATTTGATACAAACAGATCAGACATCAAGCTTCTGCGGATTGACCATGCATGGATCTGCTTCCCCATCTTTACAGAGGCCACCCTTGAACAGGCTGGAAGCAGATTCACTAGGGTGAATGAATTTGGGCATTCCCCATTTTTCTGCATCTCGATGACAAGCCTGAAAGCCTCAGTCTCAGCTCCATTTTGTGCAAGATTTGCAATCATTGCATTCCATGAGACCACATTTCGTCCCTCAATATTTTCGAAGATAGCAGATGCTTTCTCCAAACAACCAAACTTAGCATACATATCCATCAGTGAGTTGGCAATGAAAATATCAGATTCCATTGCTCTCCTTATACTGTACCCATGCACCTCCTTCCCCAAATGAAAATAACCAAGATCAACCAAAGCAGGCAGCAAACTTGATAAGGTAACAGATCCCGGTGTGACTTCATGTTCTGACATTACCCTAAACATTTCCAGCACATCTTCTTGAAACCCTACATGAGCAAAGCAACCTAATGCAGAATTCCAAGAAACCTCATTCTTCTCTTGCATTCCATTAAACACTCGCATTGATGACTCCAAGTCTCCAAATTTCCCATACATATCCACCAGTGCATTCCCGAGGTTCACCATAGAGTCAAGTCCAGATTTCAACACCAAACCATGGACACACAACCCAAACCCCTCATCCCGCTCTGTACCACAGGCAGGCACGACTGACACCAAACTCGCGACATTCACCAGGACCCCGCTCCTCATCATCCCCACCACTGCGCCCTTCGCATCCTCCAGCATCCCATTCGTCAACAATGCCGACACGAGTGAGTTCCACGAGACGATGTCCCGCGCAGGCATCTCGTCGAACACCCTGCGCGCGTCGGCCGCGCGGCCGCACGCCGCGTAGAACGTGACAAGCGTGTTCCCAGCGAAGACGTCCGCGAGGAGGAGACCCCGCCGGAGAGCGGCGGCGTGGAGCTCGGCGCCCTTGGCAGGGTGCTCCGCCTCGGCAACGACGGCGGCAGCGGCGGCGTGGAGGGCGAAGGGGAAGGTGCGGTCGTCCGGGCGCACCCCGGAGCGGACCATGCGGTTGTACACCCGCAGGGCCTCGCAGGGGAGGGCGGCGGAGGCGAGCGCGCGGGAGAGCGAGTTCCAGAGGAAGGCGGAACGGAGCCGGAGCGGGTGGTGGCGGAGGATGAGGCGCGCCGACGGGATGTCGGGTAGCGCGGCGTACGAGAGAAGCAGCGCGCCTGCGAGCGGGAGGGAGGCGGCGAGGGCGCCGGAGACAAGGGAGGCGGCGTGGGCGCGGCGGAGGAGGTGGCTGCTGCCGCCGCATTGGTGGAGGCGGAGAACGCGCTCGTGGAGGGACGCGGCCGTGAAGGGGGCGGCGGGGCCGGGCTGCCGCATTTGTTTGCTGCCTTGCTGGTTGCGCGGCGGACCTCGGAAACACCTCTAGCTGTAGAATGTTATCAGAACACATGCCCCTATTCCAATACAACACCGCTGAGCATTTGATTTGACTTTTAGCTAGCAAAATATCGGTCTACCGAGTCAATGCACGCACACACCTTCGGATTCAAATTACACACTTCATTTTTATTATGTTTTAAGTCAAAATTTTCTAACCTTAATCAAATTAGAAGAAAATATATATTCTACAAGCTCAAACAAAATGCTCCGTAAAAATATATTTTTTCATAGAAAATCTAATGAAACTAATTTGCTGTTATAGAATGGCGAATTTATCTATAAATTTAGTTAAAAATAAAGAAATTTGAATTATGGAAGTTAGAAGAAAACCCAAAATTTAGAACGGAGTCACTTTGGCCCGTTGGAAGGTTTCGTGCCTTCGTCACGACGGTTGGGCCTTGGACTGTTCACATTCTCAGGCCCACATCTCTTCTTCCTCTTCCCGAAGCCGCCGGCGGCCTTCGTCTTGCAGGCTCGCAGGCAGCCAAGGTACGCCGCCGCCGGAATTCACCTCTGCGCGAGGGATGCAGGGCACCTTTACGCCGCTGGGAGCCCCGCGCTTCGGTTCGCCTCCCCTGCACTCCCTGGCTTCCCAGCTCCCACTACAGTACATCCTGCTCGTTCCCCCGCCCACGCGCCACGCCTACGCACGCCGCCGCCCCCTCCGACGCGCTAGTTCGCTACCTCCATCGGTTCAGTGGGCACTCCGAAGCCTCGGTTCGGTGCCTTCTCTGCTACTTTCCCACCTGAAGCTTAGCTCTAGGAACAACCGAACAAGGCGCGTCTAGTTTTGTGCATTGGGGGAGGGATTGATGGCCAACAGCGAGTATGAGTACGTGAAGAGGGAGTTCGAGTTTGATCGCTGCCTCCCGCCCTCTAACTGGATCGTTGTCCGCATCGACGGCTGCCACTTCCACAGGTACACCTCTCAAATATCAATGCCTCCTTTTGAGGAACCATGTTTCCAGGATAGTATCTTTTGCTTATCTGCTAAATTTTAGTTTCTCCTTTGTAGGTTCTCCAAGATTCACGCCTTTGAGAAACCGAACGATGAGAACGCTCTAAGATTAATGAATGCTTGTGCCACTGCTGTGCTTGAGAAATTCCCTGACATAGTCTTTGCTTATGGTGTTAGTGATGAGTACAGGTATGACATCAGACATCCTCCCATATGAGTTCCATTATATAGAATTTAGTTTATGCAGTACAGTATGCAACTTGTGAAAAGAATATCTGATATGAATTGCTTCGCGTCCCTCTCTTATTTTCGAGAGATAAATGCATCCCATTATTGATTTATTCGGCTAAAGAGCTCACTATGTAATTCATTTTAAGAGTTGTATTGGTACACTGCAAGTACTGAATGGATGTGGGTGGGTGGGCAGATGCATATATAAAATTAAAAATGAACTTTCTAGCATATAATGCATCATCTGCTCTTATTATTATAAATTTCTTATATTCATTGTTTACCCTGCAGTTTCATTTTTAGAGAGGAAACAGAGTTCTATCACCGGCGAGAAAGGTAACTCATTCCGTTTCACTTTTTCGCTGATATTTGAATGTTGATTTGTCTGCCTTTTGTTTCTGAACTATGAGACAATGTTCATGGCATCATGATATTGACATCTCTACCAATAACTTCAGCAAAATTCTCTCTTTATGTGTTTCCTACTTCACTTCTGTGTACGTAATGAAGTGGAAAGACTTATTTCCCAACAAAGAGCTGAAGGAGCCACCATATTTTGATGCTCGAGCTGTATGTTACCCAAATTTGAAGACTATTCGTGATTATTTGGCTTGGAGACAAGTGGACTGTAAGCTACTGGAACTGCAATTCAAATTTTCTTGTATAGCAAATGAGACCTCATATTTATTTGCGCAACTTTTTTTTTCCCTGAAGTCCTACAAGAAAACCACATCATACCCACCAAAGTTGTACAAAGCATGAACCTTCTTGTCAAACATAAAAAGAAAAGAGCGATCTATGTACGTGTCAGAATCGAACAATAATTCGATTAGTTCACTGATATGCATATTCTTTGTTTGTGCCTTTCAGGTCATATAAATAATCAGTACAATACCTGCTTCTGGATGTTGGTGAAGTCTGGAAAAAGTGAACAAGAGGCTCAGCTAGCTTTGAAGGTAGTACAAATTTTCTTGAGTTGGCGACCTTTCTATCACAATGGTATAAATGTTTTAATTCAAGTTTTGTTTTTCTAGGGAACATTTGCAAAGGACAAGAATGAGCTGCTTGCTCAACAATTCCAAATAAACTATGATGATGAACCGGCTATGTTCATAAAGGATGTAGTGTTTACCGAGAGAAGGTGATACTAGCCCCGTTCAGCTTACCTTAAATCCGACTTGTTCGGCTTCTTTTTTCAGCCGAAACAGTGTTTTTCTCTCACAACATTTCAGCCAGAACAGTGTTTTTCAGCCAATTTCAGCCAAGTTTCAGCAAGCCAACATCTTTCTTATAATGTATTTCGTATAATGTTGTCAGTCATGCAATACAACATCTTTCTTATAATGTATTTCGTATAACTGTAGGTAGAAACAACTGTGAAGATTGATGACTATGGGGAACCCATAAAAAGACCAAGATTGCAAGTTACAGTGGCGCATGTTGATATCATAGGGCCTGAGTTTTGGGAAAACCATCAACACATTTTTCGAGAAGGTCGGTTTGAATTATTCAGCTGTCCTTTCTACTACAGATCAAGCTATGTGTGTGTATAGCATTAACTTAATTGATTATTTGGGGAACAGGAAAAATTTTGCATTGGTTTGTAAAGAAATCTGGCATCAATCACATCTTTTGTCCTTGTAATTGGATCGTTGTTCGCATCAATGCTTGCCAATTTGATCAGTGAGGATCCTTCTTTTATTTATCAGAAGCATGCCGGTTCTCTTTAGGATTAGCTTGATTGCCTTATTAACTGGGTTGCTTCATCACCCCCCCCCCTCCCCCTCCTCCCAGATTCTCAACAATTCATTCATTTGACAAGCCAAATGATGAGACTGCACTAAGGCTGATGAATGAATCTGCATCTTTGATGATGGAGCAATACCCTGACATCGTATTTGCCTATGGTTTTAGCAATGAGTATAGGTACGTTGTACTCCTTCTAATAACTGTCCATGGAGTTGAAGACTTGATAAAAAAGAAAAATAAATTCCTTTTTTGTGCTGGAAGAAAACAAATCGTATATGCTTTGGATGACACAATCTTCATCTCATGAACAGAAGTGATCTGGAGTAAATATAGACTTGGCATGATAAAGATTATAAAAAGTATTAGTAAAGCATACAATGAATCTGGAAATATTAACATATATTGAGACAAACATTCCTTGTGGATGATCATTGTTTATTGATATCCATTGCAGATAACCATTCTTACTTTGTTGTTATTACTGTTGCAGTTTTGTGTTCCATGAGAAGAGTGAGCTATATCAGAGACAGGAAAGGTAGTTATCATCATTATGCATCATGTGTTGTATCTGTAATTCAAGTGCTAATAACTGCTTTGGTTTAAAATGATGCCAACTTCTTTTGCAGCCTAATCCTTTCATCATGTTCTTCATATTTCACTTCTCTTTACATGATGAAATGGCAAGAGTTCTTCCCCCAGAAAGAATTAATGCAGACACCACGTTTTGAGGCAGAAGCTCTATGTCATCCAAAACTGAAGATCGTATGTGAATACTTGTCATGGAGGCAAGCAGAGTGTAAGTTGTTTATGCTTGAATTCATTTGTTCATTTGAATTAGTGTGAATGAACTAGGTTTCAGTGCTTGTATAGATCTATGCTGTGATCTATACTATTGATGTCTATGTCCCATATTTTTTTAACTACTGCAAGAGCTTGGCTACTCCATCAGTTGAATGAACCACAAGAACAAAGGCATAGATTGACTGATTTTATTCCTAATTTTCAGGTCATGCTGGCAACCAATACAATACATGCTTTTGGATGCTAGTTAAATCTGGAAAAAGCGAAAAAGAAGCCCATGAGATATTGAAGGTCTTTTTTCAAAATTAATGATAATCTTTTTTCCCTCGATCCTGCATACTTCTGTACTTGTCTCATTGTCTGCATCCTCTGATTGCTTTTGTTTTGTCTGCAGGGAACATTGTCTAAAGATAAAAATGAGTTGCTTTTTCAGCAATTCCAAATGAACTATAACAATGAACCTGCTATGTTCCGAAAGGGTTCATGTATTTATCGGCAAAAGGTACTTTTTGCTGATTTCCTAGAACCACTTGAGCTGCAGCGTTATGCTATGCGCCAGGTGCCCATACTACTATAACACAGAACAACAAGCCTTTAAGTCCCAAACAAGTTGGAGTAGGTTAGAGTTAAAACCCAGCAGAAGCAATCAAGGTTCAGACACGTGAATATCTGTTTTCCAAGCACTTCTATCTAAGGCTAAGTCTTTGGGTATATTTCATCATTTCAAGTCTCTTTTTATTGCCTCTACCCAAGTCAACTTCGATCTTCCTCTGTCTCTCTTCACGTTACTATCCTGGCTTAGGATTCCACTACGCGCCGGTGCCTCTGGAGGTCTCCGTTGAACATGTCCAAACCATCTCAACCGGTGTTGGATAAGCTTTTCTTCAATTGGTGCTACCCCTAATCTATCACGTATATCATCGTTCCGAATTCGATCCCTTCTTGTATGACCACAAATCCAACGCAACATACGTATTTCCGCGACACTTATCTGTTGAACATGTCGTCTTTTCGTAGGCCAACATTCTGCACCATACAACATAGCAGGTCTAATCGTCGTCCTATAAAACTTGTCTTTTACTTCTGTGGTACCCTTTTGTCACATAGGACACCAGGTGCTTGGCGCCACTTCATCCATCCTGCTTTGTTTCTATGGCTAACATCTTCATCAATATCCCCGTCTCTCTGTAGCATTGATCATAAATATCGAAAGGTATCCTTCCTAGGCACTACTTGACCTTCCAAACTAATATCTTCCTCCTCCCGAGTAGTAGTGCCGAAGTCACATCTCATATACTCAGTTTTAGTTCTACTGAGTCTAAAACCTTTGGACTCCAAAGTCTCCCGCCATAACTCTAGTTTCTGATTCACTCCTGACCGGCTTTCATCAACTAGCACTATATCGTTCGCGAAAAGCATACACCAAGAGATGTCCCCTTGTATGTCCCTTGTGACCTCATCCATCACTAAGGCAAACAGATAAGGACTCAAAGCTGACCCTTGATGTAGTCCTATCCTAATCGGGAAGTCATCCGTGTCTCCATCACTTGTTCGAACACTAGTCACAACATTGTTGTACATGTCCTTAATGAGCCCGACGTACTTCGTTGGGACTTTATGTTTGTCCAAAGCCCACCACATAACATTCCTTGATATTTTATCATAAGCCTTCTCCAAGTCAATAAAAATCATGTGTAGGTCCTTCTTCTCCCTATACCGCTCCATAATTTGTCTTATTAAGAAAATGGCTTTCATGGTTGACCTTTCGGGCATGAAAACAAATTGGTTCATAGAGACCCGCGTTATTGCTCTCAAGCGATGCTCGATAACTCTCTCCCATAGCTTCATAGTATGGCTCATCAACTTAATTCCCCGGTAATTAGTACAACTTTGAATATCCCCTTTATTCTTGTAGATCGGTACCAATATACTTCTCCACTCGTCAGACATCTTGTTCGATCGAAAAATATGGTTGAACAGCTTGGTTAGCCATACTATAGCTATGTCCCCGAGGCATCTCCACACCTCGATTGGGATACCATCCGGTCCTATCGCCTTACCTCCTTTCATCCTTTTCAACGCCTCTCTGACCTCAAATTCTTGGATTCTCCGCACAAAGCGCCTATTGGTGTCATCAAAAGAGTCATTCAACTGAAAGGTTGTGTCCGTATTCTCACCATTGAACAATTTATCAAAAATACTCTTGCCATCGATGTCGGATCTCATCCTCCTTCACCAAGAGATGCTCCATTTCATCCTTAATGCACTTAACTTGGTTGAAGTCCTTTGTCTTTCTCTCACGAACCCTAGCCATCCTATAAATGTCCTTCTCTCATTCCTTCGTACTTAAATGTTGGTAAAGATCCTCGTACGCTCTACCATTTGCCACACTTACAGCTCGCTTTGCAGTCTTCTTTGCCACCTTGTATTTCTCTATGTTGTCCACACTCCTGTCATGGTACAAGCGTCTATAGCATTCTTTCTTCTCCTTAATAGCCTTTTGGACTTCCTCGTTTCACCACCAAGTATCTTTAGCCTCACCTCCACTTCCTTTAGTTACTCCAAACATCTGAGGCCACCTTCCGAATGTTGGTTGCCATCTTCTCCCACATGTTGTTTATGTCACAGAAGAGTGATATAATTGTAGCATTGCTAAAGCCGTAAAGAAGCAATTTTTTAGCTTGCCTACATGATCGAAACCACTTTGAAATGAAGTTTCGGCCTTTGGTATCATATATATTTTCAAAGATGATAAGACTCACTGGTAGCACTCTAGTTGATTCCACATTGCACTTAAATCAATCCAACTAAATCGAAACTTAGCAACCAAGTTACTACCAGATCTAGTGCCACTGCCAATCTCTTACTCCAATCAATCATGTGGTTGCTGCTATGGTGCAAAATGTTAATGCTCCTATTTCCAGTTTCTGTGTTATTTTAATGGGCCCACCACAAATGCCGCAGGTGGAAGAACTTGCAGGGGCTGAGGACTGCGACAATGACACAACAAGAGAGCGGTGGCATGTAAAAGTGGACCACCTTGACCTAGGACCTGGGTTCTGGCGAAAGCACCCTTGGATTATGGCTAATTGCACTCAGTAGTTCCCACTGATACATGGTTCTTATCAACCACTTAGATAGCTAGATTCCCTGAGAACGTTGTTGTACTGGTGTATGTAACTCTTGTTCACACAGGTCTACTAAAGAAATATAGTTGTTTGTTCACTGTTCAAGCATCAAGCCTCTATTCACTATATGTGCTGATGGTTTTCTGAGTGGTCTGCTTGAAGCCTTGGTAGCGTTGTGTTAATTTCCTTCTGAGCTGTGAATACTTTTTTTTCCTTCGAAAATCGCTGGCATGATTATGCCAGGCGTATTGATACAGGAGCACTTTACAAGGCAGTGATTTATGTACAAAGGTTTACATGCAACTCGTCAAAATCAAGCTGGGAAAACCACTGAAACACACGTGGTCTCTACAGAATACTGAATAGCAACATTTGTCGCTACTGGTATCCAAAATAATGCAAATGACGAATTACTGAAGTTTCGCAGAAGTTGCTGGAACGCAGCAGCAGGTCCTTTTCAGTTCTGTTCGAAATCGATGTGGTTTCGCCTGGGTGGTCTCCAGAGGCAGAGGCGGTGACCGGGCTGGGCACAAGGATGAGAAGAGAAGATACGTATCGTCAAGCAGGCAGGAGAGGCTCACAAGCAAAGCAATGAAGCAAATGCGTCGTGCGTTGCACTGAAACGAGAGGACGCAGCAGAAAGCGTGTGTTGCCGCGCTGTGCCCAAATCGGCTCACAGCTCCCAAAACTAGCTAGACGCAGAGAGACCGTGTAATGGCTTATCTTATGGCTTACCGTGGCCGCCTCGTGACCGCGCGCACGATGATGATATGATGATGATGACCAACACGCGTGACGCGTTCCTGGTTGAGCTGTGTGTGAGAAGGGAAAAGGAGGAGGAGACGGAAGTGTCCGGTGCGGTGCAGCGTGTGGACCGTGGACGGCTTGCACGCACCTCACACGCTTGCCTGAATGAGGTCTAACATGCCATGTGTGTATGGTAATGGCGCTTTTGACAGGAGGCCAGAAATGACAAGTTTTAATGGCGTTTGGTTTGAGCAATATAACGGATTAATCTTGCACTCAGCACATGGCTAGTTTAGCAATGAGGAATGGATCCATCCACCAAAATTCCTAGGATGACTTCATGATAAGCTGTTTACTACTAGAATTTTTCTCTTACCATTTGGATCTTTGGAATTGAATTCATTCTAATAATTATAATTTAGACATCAATTAATTAAGCTAATATGGTTCCATATGAAATATATTTGTATATTATTGTTAGCCATACAAGATATACTTATATATTGCATTTCTACCGTAGGAAGCGAGTTAAAGAGCGTGCTATAAATTAGAGAGTAGAAACATAGCATGGTAATCTATAGAATCAATTTCTATCTCCCACACTATGAATTTAAGATAAGCTTATACGTGAACTTGAGAAAGTTGTGGAATAACAAATTCTAAGCCAGATAGCCTAATCCATTAAATAGATTCTAATTCCATCAAAATGAAAAGATCAAAACGGCTCCTTAATGAAAACCTTGTGCCCCGTCATATGTTCACGAAAAAAAAGAATCAATTGACAAAAAAAAAACACCATTGGACTCCTTGGAGCCTTTAATCTCAACGTTAAGGACAACCTTTCTGGAGCCAAGTATCATAAAGTAGATGAATGATACTTGGGTAGATAGGTTTTGGTAGTTTATATAGTCTTTTGGCCATACTATTAAGGGGAGATGATACTTGAGTGGAGCAGTGTTGTGGCCTTGTGGGTAGTTTATGCGGCAGGTGTTGAGGTCTCAGTCCAACCGGCCGCTATAAGTAGTTTGAGTTAGTTGCTTACATGTGTCTTAGTTTTAGCTTTGCTGCCTCGGTGTTGCTATAGTTCGTTGTCGTTGCTTTGTTGTAGTACCTATTTTGGTCGTTTCTTCTTTTTAATATAATTGGCAGTGTTTTCTGCCTGATTCTTAAAAAAAGTTGACTAACTTTGACTAAATTTTTAGAAACATATGTTAACATCTATGCACTATTAAAATATATTTTATGGTATACCCCTATGAGATTTCTATAATCGTTGTGCCTTTAAAAGGGTTGCAATGGATGTCATAGCTCTCTTGTCATATGTTTGCGAGGAGATGTGACTCTCGAGCCTAGCTGGAGCAAATGGCATTTCATACCCTAATTGTCCCCGTTTCAGGCTTTGGTCTACACCATGGTCATTGGCATGTATCTTGAGAGAGAGTTTTTTTTAATATTTTTAGAGTAGGTAGTGTGAGTTGGGTCTATTTTATTTGTGTGTTTATTCTATATGGGGTTTATTTATCCTCTTTTATCCTTCTTAATACAAAGGTACAATGCTCACTTGTGTGTTTGATCAAAAAATGTATTGAGAAAGTTTTTTTTTTTTTTTTTGCGTGATGAATATAGTAAGAAATCATTGGTTTATATATTTGAGGCATAGGTGTAAAAGGTTAACCGATATAATCCTTAAATGACTCCAGACAGAGAATTCCGAGCGCCCTTCAGGAGGGGTTTCGATTCTCTTGTCTTGCTGATTTCTTGGATGGTTTGGAAGGAGAGGAACCATCGGGTATTCGAAAACACTCAGCTCAGGCCGACGCAGTTAGCTGAACTCATCCTTCAGGAGGCCAACGATTGGTTAGCAGCGGGTATGTCGGCCCTGTTGCCACTAGTTGTTCGGGGAGCAAGCTAATACAGCTCCCGCAGTCGCGAATTGGTTTTCAAAATGTAACGCTACTTTGAGTCTTTATCTGTATTGTGTTTCCCTCTTATTCGGCATCACCTAATACGGGTATCTCGCTTGTATGATAGCGATGCTTTGTAATCCCTAATACCCACTTAATAAAATACATGCATAAGCGTGTTCGCAAAAAAAAAAAATCCTTAAATGGCCTACATTTGCAAACTAATAGCTCAATGTTTAGTTTCTTGTGAGATCTATTTATCCATACGAGTTTAACTTCTAGATTTTACATAAGTGCTCATAGTTTCTAAAATTTATTCCATAAAGAAATGGCGCAGATACTTGTAGCATGTGTTTGGTTCATGGGATCATGGGAGATGGGACGGGGGGTTCTTGTTCCAGAGGTGTTTAGTTCATAGTCATATGGAATGGAGATATCTCTCTAGGGAATATTATGTGAATATGCTCTCAAATCGGGGATCCAACCACCCAGAGACAAGTGGATGGTGAGGGATAAGGTGGGACGAGTGGGCCACACGAGCTGTTGCAATCCGAGGTGAGTGCAGGAGGGGGTCAAGACCTGGTGAAGGAGCGAGCAAGACACGCTCCAGCGCGGGAGGGGCGACCTCACGGAGCCGCGCTCCGCTATGGGCGAGGGATGGAGCTTGTGGGGCCGAGCCAAAAGCAAACCGTGCTCCGCCGCGAGATCCATGGCGGAAGGGGCAAGCTCCGCCGGTTGGCATGCCCGACTCTACTGGTGGAGTGCAGGTGGCGAGAGGAAGAAGAACGAGTGAGGTGAGAGAGAGAAAAAATAAAAAAAAGAGGCTGACAAGTTTGTCAACCTAAATATTTTATCCATAAAATAGGGACCATTCTATTCTCTTTCCTATCCTCTTTGACCAAACATAAAACATGATCGATTTAATCCCTAAAAACTAGATTAGGTCCATTCCATCCCACCGTGACTCTGAACTAGACACATGACAACAAAGATGTACATAAGTGTAGAACGTGTGTACATGCATGTACACATCAGCTTCGCGCATACTTTACTTTCAAGAAAACAAAAAACAAAAAGATATACATTTAGAATTTAGAATCTAGAATCTGAGATAGTAATTCTTCTGGTATCGACCTATCCAGTGGCATTTTGCCACCTGACCTTCAGTTAGAAATGCCATCCTTGCCCCTCCCTTGTGCTAAAAGGGTGCAGCAGCCCCTGCTCATCTAGTCATCTGCGCACAAAACCCCCCTCATTGCTCCGACTCCAAACCCGGACCTCCGCCGGACGGCATTGCAAGGTGAGATCAATGTCGCTCGAATCCCTCTCTTTCCCGTCGTTTCTTGCTTGAACGTAGGAAAGTTTGCTCGAATCCCTCTCTTTCTCGTCGTTTCTTCCTTGAATCCCTAGGAAAGTTTGCTGCTTGTGTGGTTTTGATGCATTATGAACTGCGGTCGTGGTCTCAGGTCTGTTATTGTGGAAGTGGGTAAACAACTTGAAAATCATGTAGTGTCGCGCAACTGGAGTTCGATCTTGGTTCTTTATGAGAGTTTATGTTCAATATTTTAAAGTAAAATGCGTTTTAATCAACCTGTTATTTTTCTTAATCCCCCTCTCTTTTTTTCTCTCCAGTATTCCATATTTTCCATGGACCATGGTCTGGGTAAATTTAAATCTACACTCTACACTAACACTACCATGAAGATTATTGAAGTTCTTGATTGTCGACATGCAAAGATTCTTAAAGTTCTTGGCTGTGCTTTATCGACTTGTTTCATGAATCATGATGGCTTATTGGCTTATCTCTGTTGCAGTGGACTCCCGAGAAGAGGAAGTGGTTGAGATATGGGCAACTCTTGCAGTGGATTCCCAAGCAAAGGAACTGGTAGAGTTGATTCGGGCAACTCTTGCCTTACTGCTGATTCCTGTAAGAACTCCTCTTGACCTTGAGTAGTTATGTTGCCTGTTGCTTGAATTACTGTGCTAGAATATACTACTACCATGGTGCTGTTACCTTTTGGTCAATTTCTATTTTAGAATCATATCTTCTATGAAGACAAATAGATGGAATTGAAGTAATTCTTAGTATAAACAAAGATAGCACAAAAGGAATCTCAAACACAAAGGAGAACTGCACATCTTTGTAATAAGAAAAAAAAGGGCACTTACCAGCAGAGAGCTCCCGCTCTCTGCATGGGTCTAGGAAGGAGTGTCACAGAAGTCTTACCTCACTTTGTGCAATGCGAGGAGACCATGACTCGAACCAGGACCTTCCGGGTCACAGGCGGTAAGACTCTACCGCTTGCACCAGGCCCGCCCTTCGTAATAAAAAAAAAGGAAAACACAAATTTGTTACAAAAAAAAAACTGCACATCTGCCTACCGTCTATGATTATGCATGATCTACATAACTATTACACTGCTGCAAAGAAAAAAAAAGTGTCTACTTTCCAATTACCCTTTTCTTTAGGATTACTTGTCCTCCTATCCCTAGAGACTTGCATGAACATATTGTGCCCTGAGAAAGAGGTTTCCTATATTTTTTTTTCTTTTTAAAGCATGCATGGTTAAGTAACCATTTATCATGGTAAATTCAGAATCAGAGATCACAAATAAATGTATTTTCGATTTTGATCCAGATAGTTGGAAGTTTCTCAATATGGAGAAGTATCCTACTTCTTCTATTTCCCCTTTTTTTTTTTTTTGATCCAGATAGTTGGAAGTTTCTCAATATGGAGAAGTATCCTACTTCTTCTATTTCCCTTGTATTTTTTTTTGTAGTTTACTCATTTGTTGCCAAGCTTACACCTAACTTAATATACTCAGAACATATTCTCTCACTTTTCTTCTATATGTCTACAATGCTTTTATTGATTTCTCACATGCAAATTTCAGCTCCTTTCCTTCTGGGAAAGACACATGATCCAGCTTTCAAATGGACGATTTATGGCTTCTCAGCTCTATTTGAGAGGGAAGCTATAACAGCCAGCTCCGCTTCTTTTGACTACTGCGGGTACAAATGGTTTGCATTGTAATCATAAAAAAATGCATCAAGCAGCACTAAACATTTCATAGGTTTGTCTTGTGGTAGTATGTGTGTGGGGTTGGAGGGCATAAAATAGTTATCTATCAACAGCATTAATTAGACTGCCAGTTAGTCACAAATCATGTTACAGTGATGCAATAAGCAATCACAAAACCCTAAAAAAGTCCATATGTTTTCTTAAGTCTTCAATTATCGTCTGAGTTGATCTTCTGCTCTTGATTCATTTACCAGGCGCCTGAAAGTGACCCCAATGCATAAAAAATCTGGTACTAAAATTCCATATGTAGCTCTTAGTCTTACTCTAAGCCGAAGCAGCTTGAAGCCAGGTTACGTCATGCATGCTGTATTCGAGCTATCTATATACAATCACTCAATTGGGTCATATTGTGGATGCAAAGGTAGTTTCCTGAACTTATTTTTTAAAAGCAGAGCCTTCTTATTACAGCTGGAACTGGAAGTTCTTAATAGTGTACGCTTAAGTGACTCGCAAAAGTTGGAATTAAATTGAACATCATATGAAGCTTATGTCATTACAACTCAATTTCTAGACAATTTGGTATATGATCAAATACTTCTCGCATCATATTCTAGAACAGATTTGCACCATTTTAGTTCACTTTTCTTCTGTACTTTGTTTGCAGACTTTACTAATTTATAGTTTATATTGAGGTGCTTATAATTTGATCGGCATTTCAGAGTGCATATATAGACATTCCACTCTTATTTGAACATTATGCATTTGAAGTTTGCCAATTGCTAACTCTGAATATGGGTTTTAGTTTTCTTTTGTTTGTAAAAAATGACTAACTGGGGATACAAGCTGCTGAGGTTTCTTATGTAAAAATGACTCTCTGGGGATGAAAGCAGCTAAGGTTCTAGGGCTATCTGTTAGCCCACAGGATCACCGTCGAGGATAGTGAACTAGTCTTCAGACCACTAGTCTCAGACCACTAGTCTCCTAGACCACTAGTCTCCCAGACCACTAGTCTCCAGACCAGACCACTAGTCTCCAGACCACTATACCGGTTGTGTCCGTACCCACACACTACGGATCGAGCTAGAAGAAGAAGGGAGAACAGAGCAAGCACGCACAATACAAGACAACAACGTTGGCCGAGGCCCTATCTGTGTGATGGCAAATTTGAGCTCTCTTTACTGAGTTGCCTTGGTGCCTATTTATACAACTCTATCTATCTAACTAAAGTACAACGCACATGCTTGAATAAAGAACTAGATAAGCATCTGAGGCTGACTCTGCTGCCGGCCTCTGCATGTGCCTACAAAGATCTTTGTAGGTGAGCCGCGGCGGCGCTGCGCTTTTCTGCAGCTGCCACAGACACAAAGAATGGGCAAAGTCGGCGCCGCTTTCCTCTCATCAGGTTTCACACAAGGTGGCGATAGATTAGCTAACAATCTTTCTCTAATCCTACTGCTAACCCTTGCACCCCCTCCATGCCGATCATCTCCTTCAGCTCCGTGAGTCGAAGTCGTCCGAGCGGCTTGGTGAGGACGTCCACGAGTTGCCGACCAGTTTCGACAAACTCGATGACGATCTGCCCTCCATCAACATAGTCCCTGAGAAAGTAGAACTTCACGTCGATGTGTTTACTCCGGTCGTGCAGAACCGGATTCTTCGCGAGGGCGAGGGCGGGCTGGTTGTCCACCATCGATCTTGCCGGGGTGAGCTTCACGCCGGTTAGCTTCGCCCAAAGCAGCCGGTGAAGCACACACAACTTGGCACTTGTTTGCGGGCCGCCGCCACGCATCGCCGCACGTAAATAGCGCCACCACCTTCTGTTTCAGCGACAGCCATGAAATTGGGGCCGTGTAACATCCTAATGGGCTAAAGTGGGCCCAATTAAATTTCAGTATGGGCCGGTGTCACTGTAGCAGGGAAAATGACGGTCACTGTAGCATCCATTCTGTGGGCTACTGTTCACCGATCACTGTTCACTCGGAAATGGACGGCCGATTTCGCTGGTACTGTTCACGGGTTACTGTAGCACCGCGAAACACTGTGCAACCAGAGTTTAGTCCCATGCTGGAAACTCTGAATTCGTCGGATCGACTTAAATACCAGGGCCAGGGAAGCGTAGTAACCTTCGGTTAACCGTTTTGAACGAAGCGAGGACGAAAGTTCAAGCGGGTTGCTACGCGGGTCGGACCACTCCTAGGAAGAGTGGGCTGGGGCCATGTATGTCGGGACTGGACGTTACATTTGGTATCAGAGCCGACTCTCGAGGTTTCACGGGCACGTGGGGACAACTGCGCGGGTATGTTGTGTGCATGTGCGTGGATCCGTCGTGGTCACGGCATGGCATACACATGCGCCGCAGACGGGCCACAAACGTGTTGAAGAGAGGCGGATCTGGGGTAAATGTCCCAAAAGGGTAAGTTGATTCGGCATTCGACGGGACGTCCGAATCTTTAGGGGATGATTGTAACATCCTAATGGGCTAAAGTGGGCCCAATTAAATTTCAGATGGGGCGGTGTCATCATAGCGAGGAAAATGACGGTCACCGTAGCATCCATTCTCAGGCTACCGTTCACCGATCACCGCTTCACTCGAAAATGGACGGCCGATTTCGGTTGGTATCGTTTCACGGCATCGTGAGCACCGCTGAACACGCAGGCAGACGAGTTTAGTCCCATATCGAAACTCAATTCGCCGGATCGACTTAAATACCAGGCTGTGGACGCGTAGTAACCTTGGTTAACCGCTTTGAACGAAGCGAGGACGAAAGTTCAAGCGGGTTGCTACGCGGGTCGGACCACTCCTAGGAAGAGTGGGCTGGGGCCATGTATGTCGGGACTGGACGTTATAGGCCGACCCGAGGAAGACGAGTACGCCAGAGGTGCTCCGTCGTCCGTCGATGTCCCCGCCATGTCTACATCGGCGAACACCGTGAGTCGCAGCTCACCTACTTCCCCGATCTTTGGGAAGATGATTCCATGATTCACCGTCCCCTTGACGTAGCGTAGTAGCCGCTTCACCGCAGCCCGGTGATCCTCTCGGGATCCTCCATGAAGCGATCGACGAGCCCACGGCAACGCAATGTCCGCCTTGTGTGGACTAGGTAGCGCAGACCGCCGACGATGCTCCGGTAGAGTGTTGCATCTACTTTTGCCGCTGTGTCGTCCTTCGTCGCCTTCACCGCTCCTCCATCGGGAGTCACGCATGGCTTGCACTCCACCATGCCGCCTCCTCTCAACAGCTTGAGGCATACGCGCTTTGCCCGAAAGCGTGAGTTCCTCCTTCCTGTCTCACCTCGATGCCGAGGTAGTAGAGAGAGCGCCGAGATCGCTCATTCAAAACGAGCTGCCATCTCTCGCTTGAAGTTGTTGATATCCTCCATGCGCGCTCGGTGACGATTAAGTCATCCACATACACGCCGACCACGAGTTCTTCCTCCCTCGCCGTGGCGTGTAGCGCGCGGTCGGTTGCGATGCGCTCTGAAACCCAAGCTCGCCCGGCGTGGTGTCAAGCTTGGCGTTCCATGCTCGAGGGCTTGCTGCGCGGCCCGTAGAGCGCTTTGCTTATGCAATCGGAGCACTCGTGCTCCTCTCCTTGACAGGCGAACCACGGAGGTTGCCCGACGAAGACCGTTTCCGCCACTTCGCCGTTGAGGAAGGCCGATTTAATGTTCAAGTGATGGACGCGCCGGTCCTTTCTTTGCCGCCAAAGCAAGTAGCAAACGGACCGACTCCATGCGCGGCGCTATCGATGCAAAGACCTCCTCGAAGTCGATGCCCTCGCTGGCCGACAAAGCCTCGAAGCGACGAGGCGCGCTTTGTACTTTGACAACGGCGCCGAGCTCGTCCTTTTGACTTTGTACACCCACTTCAGCTGATCGGACGGCATCCACGGGGTGGATCGACGAGCTGCCAAGTCTCGTTTTCCTCAATCGCCTTCATCTCCTCCAAAGATTGCCCGTCGCCATTTTCATCGCGCTCGGCTAGCGCGCGAACTTGGGTGGTTCCTCTGCAGACCGACGAGTAGCAGCTCCACGTCGTTGAGCAGCCTACCCACAGACTGAGGGACTGTGTCGAGCCGACGATGTCGTCCCCACCCCACGGAACCTCAACTCCTCACCTTCGTGGTAGGCGCCCACGAACTCGGTGATGTCACTTGGAGGTGAGGCGAACTCGATCGGGGTTGATGAAGTTCCTTCTTCCGCGGAGTGCCTCGTGATAGCACCCGAAGTGCGTTTCGGCAGATCGCTTTCGATCGTCGTCATAACTCCCTGCAGGTGTTCGCCACCTCAGAGTGCCTGTGCCACTCGATCTTGGAGTGGTCGGAACCACAAGAAGACGCCTTGGCTCCGCCATTGGAGTGCTCGGCACCCGTCCTAAAGTGGTCGCCACCACTGCAGAAACCTCTGGGTCCACTCCGGTGTGCTCGGCATCCCTCCGAAGTGCTCGACACTCCTCCCAGAGTGCTCGGCATCCCTCCGAAGTGCTTTCAGATCGCCCGTGAAGTGCTCGACTCTACCGCCGGAGTGATCGGCGCTCCTCCCGAGTGCGTGGCACTTGTTCGCAGCGTCTCCACCGCCGTGGATGACCAAGTGCTCGACGACGAAGGTGTTGGGGAAGCCTCCGCTTCCCCGTGCTCGGACTATTCCGGTCCCAAGCCGCCTCCTCGTTGAACACAATGTCGCGCGAGACAATCACCTTGTCTCGCGTGGGTCATAGAGCCGCAGACGCTTTGGTACCCTCCGCAGAGCCCAGAACACCATGGGTGTGCTCCCATCCTCCGGCTTGGTGAGGTTCGGCCGTCTTCCGACGTGGCCGATGCAACCGAATGTCCGGAGGAATGACACGTTCGGCTTGCTCCGTACCAAGCTTCGAACGGCGCCTTGCCCGTTAGGGCTTTGGTTGGAGCGTGGTTGAGGATGAACACCGCCGTGGTCACCGCCTCTCCCGTAACTTTGTCGGCATCCTTTGGCCTTCATCATGGATCGGGCCATGCCGACCACCGTCTCGTTCCGTCGCCCACCACGCCATTTCTGTTGTGGCGAAGTACGGCGTGGCGTGATGTTGCCCCACACCTTGATTCGCGCGAAGACGTAGCAAACTCCAATCAAGTGAATTCGCCACCCGATCGATCCTCAAGACACGGAGCTTCTTGCCGCTCTCGGCCTCCGCGTGTCTTGAACTTCTTGATCGCCACCGCCGCTTCGTCCTTGCTCATCGGAGTTGCGACCACATGTAGCGATCGCAATCGTCACGCAGTAGGAGGAAGTACCGCCGACCACCGCATGTAGCAGGCGTGATCGCCCGCAGAGGTCGCCGTGAACTAGCTCGAGAGCTTCCTTCCAGCGCGATACTTGGCCGCCTTTGGGAAAGGTAGCCTCTTCGCTTCCGGCCAGCATTGTCACATAGCTTCGCCTCCGTGTTTGATGTGGGTAGCCCTCGGACCATCTTCCCGGCCCACCAAGCGCCGAAGCCGAGATGTCCGAACCGGGCATGCCACATCCACAGTTCCTCGGAGTGCCTTGCCGCCAGTAAAACGGCTGCTCTACCTTCGGTCGAAAGCAGTACAACCGGTTCGAGACCTCTTCACCTTGGCGAAGTCGCTGCCCCGGTCTCGATCCTTAGAACGCCGCCCTGATCGAACCTCGCTACCGCGCTCATCCGGTGACCAATGCGATGATCTTTGGAACGCATTGCGGGATGTAGTATACATCCGTTAGCGTGCGGTGCTCCCCGTTCTGGCATCTGAAGATGATGGTGCCGCGCCCTTGAATAGCCACCCTTGAGCCGTCACCAAACTTCACCGTACTGGTAACATCACCGTCGAGCTCGGAGGAGTCCTTGGAGCCCGTCATGTGGTTACTGGCACTAGAGTCCAGATACCACCGCTGCTCCTGGTCGACGCCCACATGCCCAAGATGGACTTGGGCGCGTGGTTCGTCGAGGTTGACGGTCTTCAGGGCCTTGCTAGATCCTTCCACCGTCGTCGCCTCTTCCCTCTTCATGGCCTCGACGTCGTGAAGTGCACAGAACGTCGCCATAAGGATAGTGGCCTCATCCTCATCATCGACTTTCGCCAGGTGAGCCTGAGCCTTCTTTTCCTTCTTGCGATTTGGGCACTACCGTGCCCAATGGCCCATCTTTCCGCAACACCGACAGGCGTTGGAGTCGATTTGCTTCTTCTCCGAAGAAGCCCGCCGCTGATGTTTGCCGTTGCCACCGTGGATCGGAGGAGGTCGCCTTCCCGGAGTTTCGCGAGCAGCCCCTCCTCTTCCGTCTGCCAGGAGTTTCCGTCCGCCTTCGTTGTCGCCGCCGCTTCCAGCGCCGTCCACCGCCCGCAGACGGGCCGCCACATCCTCGATGGTGAGGGTGGACAAGTCCAAAGATCGTCACTATGGAGAGAGCGATCTGGATGTACTTTGTCGGCACGGAGTGGAGGAATTTGGAGACCGCCTCCTCTTCATCGATGGTGACGCTGCGGGCTCTTCACTTTGTCGATGAGCGCCTGCAGCAGAGGAAAAGTCCTCCACCGTTTCACCATCCTTGAACTTGAGGTTTGCGACTCGCTTGTAAGCTGGGTCGTCGCTTTTCTTTTTGCGGATTCGGAACCCGACGCAAGATTGCCGCAATGGCCTCCGACGCCTCCTTAGCTGAGCTTTTCGTCCCCAACGGTTTCCTGTACTCCGCCGGTACAGCAGTGAGGATAGCCTCCAACGCTGATATGTCGTCTTCTTCTACGTCGGTGCCCTTGTCAACAGCATTCCAGAGCCGTCGGGCTCTGAGCTTGACCTTCATGGTCACCAACCACTCTCCATAGTTAGTGCGAGTCAGCGTCGGCCAAGTGGTGCCGCTAACCTCCCGCACCGTGCGGACAACTACCTCCGGTAGTGGCTGGGCAGCTATGACAGTGCCACTGCCATCGCCCAACTCCAAACCGCCTGTCCTCGCTATCGGTTAGAATGACGACGGCGCTTGTACTGCTCTGATACCACTTGTTAGCCCACGGGATCACCGTCGAGGATAGTGAACTAGTCTCCAGACCACTAGTCTCAGACCACTAGTCTCAGACTACTAGTCTCCCAGACCAGACCACTAGTCTCCAGACTAGACCACTAGTCTCCCAGACTACTATACCGGTTGTGTCCGTACCCACACACTACGGATCGAGCTAGAAGAAGAAGGGAGAACAGAGCAAGCACGCACAATACAAGACAACAACGTTGGCCGATGCCCTGTCTGTGTGATGGCAAATCTGAACTCTCTTTACTGAGTTGCCTTGGTGCCCTATTTATACAACTCTATCTATCTAACTAAAGCATGTACAGCACATGTCTGTAATAAAGAATTCAGATAAGCATATGTGGTTGACTCACTACTGGCCTCTCTGATGTGCCTACAAAGTGTTGCAGATGAGCTGCATATGGCGCTCGCAGCACCGCAGCTGCTACAATGATAGATACAAAGGAGGGGCAAAGTCGACGCCGTCTTCCTCTGCTGTGTTTCACACAAGGTGACAGTAGATTAGCTAACATTATCTGTAGTTTACAACCAAGTTCCTACTTGTCTAATATTTTCAACTTTTTTTTTCTATAAACAGCTAGGTACAACTTCGATGTCAAGAAGTTTCATTCGAAGAAGAAATGCCTGATTACTGTTGAAGAACTACTGAAATCAGCTGATTTTCTGATCGATGATAGCTGTGTCTTTGGTGTGAGGATATTACAAGCAGATGTCTCTCCTAAAAACAGCCTTGCTGTGGCTCCAGATAATACTATCACAATTTGGGAACTGTTTCTGCAGAAGAAGGAATTCATCAAAGGAAATTACACCTGGAACGTGAACAACTTCCTTGCCTTGAAGGACTCAGTCCTTTCTCCCGCATTTGAAGCCAGTGGGCACAAATGGTTTGCATTTGCCACTTTTCTATTGTATTATATTACTCGTCTCGTGCTATTACTTGTTTCGGTGTAGAGATATCATTGAGTTTAACTTGTCTAGTTAGACTGACAAGCTTAATCCCGGTTTTTATGTCTGGCGCTTATATGCTGTGAAAATTCACCCCCGTCATTTAATGGAATCAACACGTCTGGTGCTTAATTATGTTTGCTAGCTTTTTTACTTTCTTTCCTATCAAGTATATGAATGAATTGTCATAATAGATTGTTTTCATTCTGTCTCAGGCACATCCGGATGCATCCACTCGGTAACCAATACAGCACAGATTCACTTTCCATGTACCTGGTAATGCATGACCCGGCTAAGCTTTCTCATGAGTCCGGGAAGATGTTTGAAGTGACCCTGTCCATCCTGAACCAAGAGCAGGGACAACACTACAGCCGTGCAGGTTTCAGCTCTTCTTGGCATCTAGGAGTACCTACTAACGTGTCGTGATTTCGTGAATGAATTAACCGGTGTTTCATGCGTGTGGTCTTACGTGATGGCAACTGCAGGTCGCTTTGTATTCAATGGAAATCTTGGATGGGGATGGGCAGACTTCATTCCACTCAAGATACTGAAGGACCCTTCCAAAGGCTACCTCGTGGGATCAAAGTTGAGTGTGAAGGCGGACATCATTTGCATTGGGTCATCCAACGATGTTCAGACACCACTTGTTGCATCTCTCTTGAAGGACGAGAAGTAATGCCCTTGCATAATGCCTAGTCATTCAGCAGTAATATGATGTCAGACAGTAGTCTTTCACCTGGATTGAGATGAAAAGGACCTCGTCTTTTCTCTGATAATAAGCGCATGTTCAGCTTGTGTTAGTATTACTGTAATGTTATATGTATCTCTCTGCTGTGATGTGACAACTGACAATATTCAGATAGAATCACGTATATGTGCTGTTGGTTTCATCGTAATCAGGGTGATTCATGATTCTGAGATGTGGTCTCACTTGATTAGAATTAGAGCTCATCGATCCTACTGCTGGGTATAAAAGGGCATAACCAGTGCAGAGAGCTCCCGCTTTGTGCGGGATCCGGAGAAGGGTGTCAGTGGCAAGCCTTACTCTAGCCTGTGCAATGCGAGGAGACCGCGACTTAACACAGGACCTTCCGGTCATAGGTGGTAAGACTCTACCGCTTGCATCAGCCATGAACTTGTTCAATCCAGGAATTAGTGGAAATATCAATCCACAAAAACTTTGGTTTATTTCTGTTCCATTTTTATGGTTTGAAATCAGATTTTGTTCGACACACAGGGAGCCACGGCACACAGCGGAGCCATCCTTGTGGAGGGCTGGCGGCTGAGTTGACTGTTGACTCGAAGTTCTAATGACTGTTGTAGGACAATAGTCAGTAGTCACACCCAAAAAATTAAGTATACACAATTATGAAGTTCTAATGAGTTTCTACTTTCTAGACAAATAGTATCAGGCTAGCAAGAACAGAAGCTCGATGTTAACTAAAGATATTCAAAAAACAATAAGTTGAACCATCTCTTCCTAGTTGAAGACAAGAAAGAATATTATGAACAAATTTGGCAACTTTTTCAAAAGATACTATGTCATGGAGCATAATGCTTGTGATGCTTTCATCAAAGCATGATGCTTGAGATGCTCTTGATCAAACAAGCGTGCAGCAAAAATAATCCATGATAAATAAGCTGCTGATGGTAGATTATCTAATGCAACTGAACATTCTCTGACGAGTTCTAAAAACTGTCATTGGCAATGGCACCACCTCACTTTGAACTTGCGCTAGAAATTGCATGTCTCGTGGTTCAACAACCTCTTTGTTCAGCAAGCCCATCCTTCTATGATGATAGATGGTCCTCAACCTCTGCATCAGGTAATGTTAGAGCCCTCTGCAGCTTTCTACGGCGGTAAACTTCAACCTCTGCCACGTAGACTGCAGCCACAGGGCGGTGATCAGAAAGTGTAAGCTCCCCCCTCTTGTACGAAAGTAGCCTGATTCCCTTCCCGTATGAGAGAATGCGGTCACACCTGCACACATAGATGAGAGTGTTTGCTTATTGCTGGTGGCATGCTCAGTGCTGATTTCTGGAACGATTGAATGAACTAGAATGGATCTAAAAGTTAGAAGAACAACATACCATGCAGGAGTTCTTCTCCCAGATTTACTCTCATCACTCACATAGTATTCTGAGTCAAACTCATATTTATATGTTGGGGGAAAGCTGATAACTCCTTCAAACCAACCGTCAAATGTGCATCCTTTCCTCAATTCTCTTTTCAGCTGTCACAGAAGAAGCATGAGCTGGAAACCATGTGAACGTAAATGAATAAAAATGAATAACAAGTCCATCAAATACCTGATCCCTCTCAAACAATCCATCCCAGTCCTGTTTGGAGATTAGTTCATGTGTCCTTTCATAGGATAAGTTGATCCGATAGTTGAGGTCTCCTAACCATATAATCTGTCTGAAAGTAAGGACAGAGATTCAACATAAGAAATCAGGCATAGCATCAATAGGGTGTCATCATGAGATGTACGTGTACCTGTCATATAACAGTAGATAAACATGGATAATTGAGTGCAAGCTTTGGAATATAGCACGAATTACCAGAAGGCAGATTACCCAACTTACTCATGGTCATGTATTCTCATAGGCATGCCTACAGCATTGACTGGGTTAAACACTGTTCTTCGAAGTATTTCTTCGACATTTGAATTCCTTTTTAGGTCATCTCCATCTTTTTCACCAGCAGCCAGGTGGCAACAGACAAAGCAGAAAGGAGTCTGATGTATAGACATGCTGACTGATATTGATCCCTACAGCATATTGAAGGAACATATGTCAGCACAAGGTATTTTGGATTAGATGACAGACATGTGTATCCATGTTGAATATAATGGTAAGTCTGATGTATACCGAGTGAGACAATAGCATGGTGACTAATCAAATTTGAAGATTTTAAACTTAAAGGAACAACATATCGAAGAATGCTAATCAGCTCTCCTTAAAAGTCCCATTTGCCTTTTCAGCGTCCATGAAAGAAAGAATGCCAATACCAAAACATGCATTTTTTAAACCTGATTCTCATCAGGAGAAAATACCACATAATGTGAAAAGCAACATCCTAAGGTTCTAATTTCTAACAAAGTATAATCCAGTTATTGCGGAAATCGGAAGCAGTACAAGGAAAGAGTATCAAATCTGGCACTTGCCTTGTTACCAATATAACCCATCGCACCTACACCAACGGTTGATACTCTCAAATTCTGAATGTGCTTCCATAGGCTTCTCCGAACCCAAATCGAAAGAAATATTCCCACCATTTGCTTGCTTATTATGCGTACAAACTCTGGCCTTTTCCTTTTTGCTCTCTTATCAATCATGACATGACAGGCTAAATCGTCTTCTGGAAAAGCTTCAAGATTCTCATATGTTTTATCTTGAAGTCCACAATTATGGTCTTGGTCAATCAATGGATGAAGTTCCCCATCACTATCCTTGTCAGACTCACTAAGCAATTCATGTTCCATGGAAAGAGCAACATCTGATGGATTAAACCTGGATAGTGAAGGAGGATCACTATGGCACTTAAACCCTGATTTATCTGAACATTTCTTATTCAACGTTTCACGGATGATGTGCTCCCATACTGCAACTGGACGACTGTCTTCAGCACCAAATATATTCCCAGCATTGAGTGGAACAATCTCTTGAAATCTGAAAGATGATCCTAATCGGTAAATGAAATTCTTTTTTAAGCAAAAAGTATATTAATGAAAGGAGTGGCACTAATCATCTCATTGGCAAATTGTAAGCTACCACATAACATTTGTACAGCAGCTTGCATGCATAGATACATGTTAAATAGTTATTACTGCATGTAATGGGCAAACAACTTTTAAATACAATAAATAATCAAGTATCCAGTGCATGTTCCCTAAAATTAGTTATAAAACTTGTTATGGGGCATCAATTACGGGCCCAGGGGCCACATGATCAATTAGAGAGATTTGATCAGTTAGAGATAGGATTAGATTTGGGTCAATTAGAGATAAGGATTGGATATGATTTGTTATGATTGGGTTGGGCCTTCCTTAGGTGGCCAGGAGTCCTCTCTATATAAAGGGGAGGTGATGTACCAAGAAGGGAATGAATGAAGAACAAACAATCCAAATAAAAAAAAGGAAGAAAGAACAAACAATTCAATTCCCCCAAATACTCTAGTCTCCCTTTTTCTTTTTTTTGAACGCAATGGCAGGAGCTCTGCCTTTCAATTAAGATAGGGAAAGAGAGTTTATGTACAAGCAAAGACACTCCAGATGAGAGTTTAAAGCCCCCCGAAGCAGGGATAAGAGGGAAACACCCCCCCCCAAGGGGAAACAACAGCTAAACATAAGCAAGTGCTCTCTTCCTTTGCTCTATGTCTTCCTTTATCCTTGCGGCTACTTGCGGCACCGTTTCTATCTCGTTGTTGAAAATTCTCCTATTTATCTCTTTCCAAATATTCCAAAAGGTGTAGATTACTACCCCGTTTAGTCGTCTACGTTCAGATTTTGGCACTTTCCTTGCCACCTCTTCCCACCATGCTTTGATATGGATAGGGTCTGGCTGGGGTTGTTGTTGCAGCTGAGTGAAGTTTTCTCAAGAGAGGATTTGATCCCAAACCGCCTTAGCAAAAGGGCAACATAGACATAGGTGGAGGCCGGTTTCCAAGGGACCGTTGCACAGCACGCAGTGTTCTTGGCGTGGCCACCCTCTCTTTTGTAGGTTGTGCGCCGTAAGAATTTTATCTTGCACCAAAATCCAGGCAAAGATCTTGTATCTGTTCTTCACTTGTGCTTTCCAAATGAGTTCAGTACGGAACAGGACGAGCGAGCCTTTGAATTGAATTCTGTAAGCTGAGCGGGTGGAGTAAGTCCCATCCTGGGTCCATTGCGAGGTGATGGAGTCCTGAACGCCCTGCTGCAGGTGCACGTCCTGAATTCGTATCCATAGGGACACAAATTCCTCTATGTGGACAGCCGAGGTGATTTTCCTTGTTAGCGAGCGCATCCAATTGTTGTTTCGAAGTTCTTGTTGCACTGTTCAGTTTTTCCTTGAAACAAGCCGAAACAAATTCGGGGCTAGGTACCTTGGAGCTTCTCCTTCAAGCCAATTATGGTGCCAAAGCCGAGTCTTTGCACCATCACCCAAAGTTATGTTGATTGAGGAGTTAAAGAGGAGACGATCAACATCAGTACATGGAAGCTCTGAGCCGATCCAAGGCTTGGAGTCCTCCACCCATTCTTGCCAAAGCCAGCGCAACCGGAGGGCTCTCCCAAATCTATCAAGGTCAGGCACGCCTAAGCCACCAAGGTCTTTCGGTCTGGTAACTGTTGGCCAGTTAACCAGGCAGTGTCCACCATTGGCATTCTCCTCCCCCTTCCACAAGAAAGATCTCCTGATTTTGTCAATCTTCCTCTTAGCCCATGCCGCCAAGTGAAACACTGTGAGGTGGTAGGTTGGCATGGAGGAGAGGACTGAAGTTACTAGAGTGAGGCGTCCCGCTTTGTTTATCCATCTTCCTTTCCATTTGGGTAACCTTTGTCCAATACGCTCAATGAGAGGTTGCACATGGACCTTTTTTAGTGATCTAGTGTGGAGTTGCAGCCCCAAATATTTGCATGGGAAGTCACCTCTACTACCGGTGAAGGGTGATAGGACTTGGTCTAGATCGACATT